ATTTCATTTGCAGCCTCTTCTTACTGCCCCCACTTCTTCTAAGGCTGTCGCTGGCCCTTTGCTCTTGACACTTTCCCCTTGGGGAGCTCCTTTATTCTCATGGCTTCAGCCCTCACCTCAAAACCCACTTCCAGACTCTCTCTGTTTTCACACTGATTCCCTGCCCTATTTCTCTGAGCGCTTACTATCCAGTTCTCCTTGGGGGAGTTACCATGATCTCAAACTCCATCTGTCCGCACGTACCTGAACGGAGAAACTGCTTTAAAGAGACTCACAGAAAGTTACCACCAAGAGGGGCCTTTGAGACCAGCTGGCCAAGGGTCCTCATGGTGAAGGTGATGAAACTGAGGTCCAGGGACATTAATTTCTCAAGGACATACACTCAGTGACAACATACTAGGTTTGGCTGAGAACAGGAGGCCTGCTCATTCAGTCTTTGGGAGGGGTGAACTGATCTGCTCAGGGCACAAAGCTGGTTAGTGGTGGTAGGACTGAGGTCAGTCTCCTACTTTCTAACGCAGAGCTAATTCCTAAGGGTTCTCTGAAAGTGAGCTGGGGTCACAATGAAACTGCGCTACCCAGGAAAGCTATGACTATGACAGGGAGGACACCAGCCTGGGTTTAAAGCAGTCCTACCCTGAGTCAGGATGTCATTTTCTCCCCCTCCCCCCTTTTCATTGGCCTAGAGGCATGGAAGATTCAAGGCACAAACTGAGATTTAAGACAGGAAAATCAAGCACGGCAACATCTCACCTCCTTAATAAATCGTAAGGAGGTGGTGAAGGCGTGTCCTGGAGTCATCAGTGGCCAAAAAGAGTCTGCCAACAGTACGGCCACCCTGAAACTGGACTTTGCATTTGCTCAGAACTGGCAATTTTGATGCCTTGGACAAGTGGCACTAAAAGGGCCCTCCATCAACTTTGTGCTTCACAATATGGTGCACAGAGGGGTGTTATTAACAATGTGTACCATCTGCTAGCTCCTCGTTTTAACTAATTATTCTTGCTAACTAGGTGCTAAGCTCAGTTGTTTCTATACTCCTGAAGGAATGCTTGGACTGTCAACACGTGAATTTAACAAAGTTTAAAGTCACAGAATCTTTTCAAACCTGTGTCAATACTTCCTTGCACTCTCTACATTTTGGTGTCCTGGCACAGAGCCCCAGTCACCTGCCTCGGCCCTGTGTAAGTCTCGCCTGTGCACTTGTGACCAGGAAAGTGCAGAAGATGTCAGAAAGTGCTGTGTGCTGTGCTCTGCATGTGTCTGTTTGGATGTGGGGAGAACACAGTGGAAAGCACCAGAATTTCATTTCTGCTGTGCATCCTGGGCCCTCTCCTTCCGGGCCTATCAACACGGAATGGGGAGAAGGCTGGGTTTTGACTAAACAGAGACAGAGAACCGTAGAAGATTAATAACAAAGGTACTCAGGACCACCCAGGAATTCTCTAACTCTGGCTGTAAATTGTGTGATCACTATGCTAAAGTGGTTAAGAGTTCTTGTTCTGTGTTCTGATAAGTTTTTTTTATTTTTGAAGACGATTAACCCTAAGCTAACATCTGCGGCCAATCCTCCTTTTTGTTGAGGAAGATTGGCCCTGAGCTAACATCTGTGCCCATCTTCCTCTACTTTATATGCGGGACACCTGCCACAGCATGGCTTGATAAGCCATGGTGCATAGGTCCACGCCCCTGATCCAAACCGGTGAACCACGAACTGGGCTGCCGAAGCAGAATGTGTGAACTTAACCGCTATGTCACTGGGCCGGCCCCCAAGAGGTATATTTTTAAGAAAAAGTATCATCAAGTGGAGAAGCAGCTAATCTGGTCTCTGCTCATCACGCCTTTGACAAGCTCTGAGGCCACTGGGTAGTAACATCCTTGGGGCAGCAGCTCCTCATCGCAGGGTAACAGCTGGCAATAAGCAGAACACATCTCAAATTGCTAGCAAGTATCTTATGATTCTCCTCCTAACAGCGGTCACTCTAAGGACCTGAGAGTCGTTTTGACTCATTCCACTTATTTCCCATTTCTTGACATCAAGTTAGAAAAAAGAAAATCTTGGTTGGTTTCCAGTAAATGTCTCTTGGGACATCCATTCTGGTCCCACCACTACTGCTCTAGATGTGAATGACAGTGACAAATTCCTCACTGACATCCTTGGCTGGGAGTCTTCTCTACTCCAATATATCCTTCCTACCAGTGCCAGATTACTTTTCTTTAATAACCATTTTCATCTTGCTCAAAACCTCCCATGGCTTCTTATTTCCTCCAAGAACATGTAAACTCCTCCTTGAGAGGCCATGGAGGCCCCTGTCCCTATCTTTCCCACCAGCCATTTCCCACCAGCGCTCCCAAGCCCGTGCTCCCTGCTGTGGATTCATGGTGCTTCCCTCGCCCTTTCAGTCCTCCTTGGCTGTCTGCTCATTTTGCAGGGTCATCTGGAACCCTGTCCCTACTCCATTTGTCCAGTCCCACCCTCTCCTCAAGGTCTAGCTTAAGTCCACTTCTGGGCCAGGGCTGCAGGATGGGTTAAGTGGACCCGGCAGGGGTGAGAGCTGTTTTCCTGGCAGGATTTTGATATTAAGTTGCTACGTACATTTCATAGGGCTAGGTATTAACTGGCCCAGGATCCCAGATGGCTCCCTTCACCCTCAGGATCAAGGTCCCAGTCTCAGGCTCTGTCCAGCAGCCTGTGTCAGGCCAGGTGACTTTCTTGGACTCACATTTGGCTCTTTCCAATGCACATTTAAGCATGCCATAAAAATGGAAAAACCTTACACCGTCTATCATACCACCATTTACCATTATTTAAGGTTCACCTTTTCTAAGATTATCCAAATTATTTCTGCCAGCCTTCTAATCTGTTAGCACAATCCCTTACTTTCCACTCTGGGTAGACTCTCCCTTCCACTCCAAGGAATAAGATGTGTGCCCTGAGCCTGGGGGAAGAGCAGCTTCCTTGCCGGATGCTCGTATTTTCTTGTGCAGCTAGAAGGCTGGTGCCAAGTACTATACCTGAGATGGGCTTCGACACTTTCTTTGAGACTGAAGTCCAGGTGGGCACATAAGGCCTGGCCCGAAACTAGTGGGGAAATGCCTGCTAGTCTGCAAGTGGCTTGGCAAATCTGAGTTGACTCACAGCTCTTTCCTGACTAGCTGTGGGACCTCGGAATGCTGCTCCAGCTTTCCGAACCAGTCTCTGTAAACACGGAGAATAGTCCTGGCTTTGCTTGGCTTGTCGTCAGGTTTAGAGAGAACCCATGTAAGGCTCTGAGCAAAGTGAATGGCACATAGTAGGTGATTGAAAAATGGTGGGCTACCTCCTATAGGTTCCCAGGGACTCGACTGTATAAGCAGAAGAACAGGGACCTGATTGCTTACTAGCTTAAGGGTGGGAACATCTATATTGTGAGTGTATTTACTCTTCTCATCTGCCCAGATAGATTGGAAACTGCTGGAAAGCCAGGACCAGCGGTCTTTTGGGGTGCCGAAAGGGATGATACAGGGTTGAGGCATTAGAGTGGATTTTGATTCTGAGACTGGGATAGGATGATTTTCGGGGACATAACAGAAAGGTACACAATAAAAGTGTGCTGGCGGGTGGGTGCGGGTACACAGAATGCACTGTCGTGTGTTAGTTAATAGTGCTGGCTTGCAGCACAACAATGTCCAGGAAAGCAGGGGAGGAGGCTCAGCCTGGCTTCCTTCTGCTACTCCTGGCTCTCTGCCCAAATGCTTGCCATTCACCATGGCCACCAGCCGCTCCCGGTCCTCGGCCTTCCCCACGTGGCACACGGTGCCTGTCACACTCAGCCCCTCCTCCTGTAGCACTGCCACTGCCCGGTCCACGTTCTGCTGCTTCCGGCTGCTGACCACCACATGGGCCCCGTCCTGGGCCAGACGCCGGGCGATGGCGAAGCCGATCCTGCGGGCAGAGAGAGACAAGGACTGTCAAGTCTGGTCCAGGGAAAGATGGTGAGGACATGGGCTCTGGAGTCGGACTGCCTGCATTTCAATTCCAGCTCTCCCTCTGAAGGACCTCTGTGTGCTTGCATTATATGTTAAATAGGGTTAATGGCACAGCCATTACCTTACAGATGGACAAGCTTAGTACATTTTTGGCACTCACTTATTTCTCTGATGATTTTGGCCCTCAGGCTAGGCTCCCAGGAAGTGACATCACCTTCCATGGGCCCCAGCACAGGTCCCAGGCCTCATCCCCTGTAGGGACTGAGGGGAGAGAAAGGAACTAGGGGTGCAGCACCTCCATGATTGGAGGGTCTTACTCAAAAGGGCCCCTGCCCCCAAATATCTTCCTTACTAGTCTACATCATCTCAAAATTCTATCATTAGTTACGTTTTGGAGTGCAAGTGAACCGGTGAGTCTCTGGTTAAAAACGTAAATTTTTTACATTACCCCCCCCCCCCCCCCAGAGTAAAGTTTACACACTTTGCAATTGTCAACCATTAGCATTTTGTATATATCTGTATTTCAGATTTGTGAAGAGCTGGCATCTAGCAAAGTCCCACGGGAATGAGAAACAGGATAGACAAGAGTGGTGGTGTTACCGGCTCTTAGTTAATATCAGCCCTGATATTGGTTCCCTTACAGTGAACCTGGCATGTATGGGGTTAAAAGTAAAAACCTGCATTCCTAGTTCCCTGGGTCTTTAGTTACACTCATACGTAAATATTTGTTTCTTTAGCCTCTGACTCCCTGAGCTTTTCAACCAAATAGAAGTTACAAATTGTTAAAGCCCAGATGACTTCAAACTGGGCTCCTGCTAAAGTTGTGGCTAATCCCAGGACCTTGAAGTTCTTGAGCAGAGAAACTAATATCCAGAGAATATCGAGAAACCCCCAACTTCCCAGGCCCAACTCCTTGGCTTCCTGACGTCAGAGTCTACCTTCCACCACGGAGAAAACAGCCCAGGACACTCATCTGAGAAATCCTTAGTCTCTGCTGGAAGCAGCCCCAGACACAGGCCGATGGGAAAATGCTGACCAAGAAGGCCATGCCCCACCTCCCCTACCTAAAGCCCCAAATAAAAACCCCTACCCATTTCTTAACGGGGAGCAAGCAACTTTTGGGGAACTAGCCCTTGCTTTGCTCCCTCTGCCTGGCAAAGTAAAGCCTTTCCTTTCGCACCGAAGACTCTGTTCTCTTATTTGGATTGACATCGGGATCAGAGACTGAACTTTCGGTAGCAGTGGGTGAGAAACAAGCTGGACAAGGAGGGCCAAAATGTACTGAGCTAAACAAAAATCTGGACACATGGGTCGTGTGTCTCGTCTGGGTAAGGGGCGCTGTTTTGCGAGACTTGTGGGGGTGCGCAAACGGGGTGTCTGGAACATTTCCATAGCCGACGGAGGCGGTGGGATAGGGTTTTTGAAATCTGGACTTAGATTTCCGGCGTCTGATCTTCCCCAGACTGTGTGAGTAGGGCCGGTTGATTGCGGCAGCCCAGGGCACGGGGAGACTGGACTGATGGGGGCAGCACTGAGGTGGCGCAGCTGAGCCAGAGGAGGCCGCGACCGGAAACTGGCAATGGTGGGGTCAGGGTCAGAGGAATCAGAGGGGCTGCAGGTCCCTACCGAGTTCCTTTCTTCCGAGGCCGCGTGTGAGGCCTGAGGACACGGGCCCCTGAGGCAAAGGACAAGGTTAGTACCTGTTTCCAGACAGCGCGGGCCTCAGAGACTCGTGCCCGGGCACTCACCCGTCGGTGGAAGCCGTCACTAGGGCCACCTTATTCGCGAGCGGGCCCCTGCGCGCCATCCCGGAGCTGGCCATCCGCACCGACTTCCACGTCCGCGCGCAGCCGCCCAGCAGCCGCCCCACTCTCCCCATGGAGCAGGCTTCTGTGCTAGCGGGGTGGTGACAGCGGGGTAGGGCAAGGGGCAGGGCGAGGGACGGGCCGCCTCCCTGCCCGGCTTCCCGCCAGCCCAGGAGCAGGAAGGCTGGTCCGCTCGGGGCCAGCTCTTCGCCCCGGGAGCCCGCTGTGCCGCGGGCGCCCCCTGCCGGCAACAGCCCCGACCCCCCGCAGTCCTCTGCTCCTCCCCGCGGCTGTGGGACAGCGCTGCCCCTCCAGGTTCCCTGTAGGGCCCGCCCCCCTGCAGGAACCCGCGGACTTTCCCGCTCCCCGCCCTGCTTCCACATCTGCTTGCCCACGTCATTTTTCTGGGGGCGGGGAGAGAGGGAGCTTTGAGTTGATTGCTTTTGCTTCCCAGAACCTCAAGATGGACCTCCTTCTCCAAGGACGTCTGGGTCTACACATCTGACAGCCCGCAGGAGGGCAAATGTTTTGAGATTGCCCTTGGAGGTGAGGCCTGTGGTCCCCACCGAGTCACCACGTGAGGGTTTCAGGTGAGGATGGAGGAGCCTGGGAGCGAGACGTGCTGGGGAGCAGCTGGGCTAGGCCTGGCACTGCCCTTCACTCTGGCCGAAGGTCTCCTGCATCCTCCCACGCCTGGAGGGCAGACTCTGACCATGTGTAACCAGTGTGCAGGGATAAAGATCCTGACTGGAAAGGATCTCTTGTATCTTTCACCCCAAGAGGACTTGCTCATTTTACAGGGCCCAAGTGGTAGCAAAGAGGCTGGATGGTCCGCCAATCAGAGGTAGGAACACAGAGAGCTCAGGAGTACTCAGTTCTCCACAATCACCCAGGTCCCCAGGTCTTAGCCTCCGTCCTAGTTGGATAAACATTTGCTGAATGTCAAAGCACTTTATAAACTGTCAACTGCTAAACGCATAGTGATTATTGCCCCCATATGGTAATTATTATTGCCTCCGCAGGCCAGGCTCTGCGGATGTAAACTGAGGATGTTGGAGTAGATGATGGATAAAGTCCTCTCCAGCTATAAATTCTATGTCTAAGACTTCATCCTCCACTTCTGCCAAGTGGGCTGAAATGATCTCCCTCCCGGGTTTCTGGGAGAATTAATAAATCTGGGTGGCTTATGGTATGCTGTGGAAAGCCCCCTACAGAGCCAAGTGCCAGCGTCTGAATTGGTTTAACCCAGTGGCCTCCAAATGCCAGACTGAGAAGTAGTGCTGGTCCATGGCAAACTTTTCACTAGTTCAAGGCAAAAATGAGAAAAATAAAGATAACATAGCGAGTTTCATAAAGCCAAGCTTATTTAATGTAACAGATAGTCCTTTATTCTGGGATATGCTTTTGCTCTTTTTTTTTTTTTTCGGTGTTAGTCTTTTTGTTAAGAAAAGGTAATGAAAACAGATGGATAGTTTGAGAAAACTGTTGTTAGTTGGTGAAATCGCCGGTTTGGCAAATTTATGTCAGTCCCTACAATTAGAGGAGAGAGAATCCTGGTCTGTGAAACTCAGTTCTGGGGATCGCTGTTTAATAGAATTCGTACTTGCTGAGGATTCATTTAGTATACGTATAGGTCAGCTGAGCAGCTAAAAAAGGATTTCAGCATTCAAAAGGGGGTATGTGAGTAGCGAATGATGTAACAAACAGTATATTCTTCAATGGAGAAGTTACAGCCTCGGGACTCAGCTTGGTACTCAGCACGTGCCGATGAGATAAGAGAGCGTAAGTCTAATTTCCCCATGTCCAGGGAAAACTGACTCTCTGACTGGTGCCCCTCAGTCTGAACTTTGTGAATTCTTGACAACAGAGGCTGGATCGCGTGGCAGCCCTCTTCCTCCTCCCCTGTTCGGAGCTATTGCGCTGTAGAAACCCTTCCCAGTGCTCCACACCTGTGTGTGGGGTTGAGGTGGAGGGAGGGCTTGTAGGAGGACTGGAGCGGGGTTCTCGGGCCTCTTGGTTCAAAGGCACAGGCCTGCAGGGCGTGTTTGATCTCCCTTCACCTCCTACCCAGAGATGGGCAGCCAATTCCAGGTGCTGAGGTTGGGAAGGAGAGTGGGGGAGACCACACCCCAAGGAGCCAAGGGTTCTGGGAAAAGATAATTCTGGCCTGGGAGCTCTGTGAACATCACATGGCCCCTCCGTGTCTGGGCAAGGTTGATATTTGGCCTCCCGTACCACTTCTTTTGGGAGAGCACAGGGGACATTAGGGAGGGCATCTATAAACAGATAGGGTAGGGGGAAGGCAAGAAGTGTGAGTCTCTAGCTCCTACTCTTCATCAAGCTGGTTTGTTGGAGATGTGGGTAGGAAATCTTTGGGGGAAATACATGCATATGTAGGAGTCTCTTTGAAATGGGAACTGTAATAGGCCAGGGGATTGTTCTTGCATGGAGGTGGTACCATCTGCGGATCTTGAGGAAATGCCTCTGCGATTGAGGACCACACTCCCAGCTTCTACTAGGGCTGACTGTGGTCCAGAAGGGAATTCGCCTGGGATGGAGTTGAAGTCTTGCATTTTGCAATAGCCATCTCAGATTGGCCATTGACTCACGCATCATTGACACAAGGCAGGCTTGGGCGGTGCGGGAGGGCTGTGTGATAACAACAGCTTTGACAGAACACTTACTAAGTATCAGCAAGTGTTGGGTGCTTTTTATAAATTTTATTGAATATTTCTAATCCAGGGAGGTAGGCATTTTTATTTCCATATGTGAAATCAGAGTGAGTCATGACAAACTGACCTGCTGTCAATGTTGAATAGCTACACTAAATTTTTCTAACATTGTTGGAGAATGACAGTTTTCTTAGAAATTAATTTTCTCTGAATTGGAATTTTACTTTCAGCACTATGTTTTTGTTTTCATCATTAGGATATCTATTCTTTAAATTATAAAAATAACAGAGTCATGATTTTTAAGAGACAGAAAGTTATAAAGTGAAAGGTAAAAAAGTAACTCTTCTCTATGCTTCTTTTATCTGCTCCCCATATGGCTCTTGGTCTTGTGTATTTTTCCAGAAGTTTCCTATGCAGTTACATGCATTTTTCTTTAAAAATGTTTCCTACAGGTGGAATGACACTATACATTCTCGCCTTCAAATTGCTTGCTTCTTTTCTTTCTTCTTTTTCCCTCCTTCTTTCTTTCATTTCTTAAAATACGTTCTTGGAGACTGTTCTGAGCAGTACACAATAGATCTGCTTTATGCTCTCTCTCCCTTTTAAAAATAGCTGTACAGTACTCCATTGTGTGGATAGTCCATAATTTATGTAGCCAGTCTCCTGCTGATGAACATTTAGGCAGCTTCCAGTGTTTTGCTATTTCAAACAATGTTACAATGAACAACCTTGGATGTGTATATATTTTGTGTTTGCTGCAAATACATTTTTACGCTAGGTCAAATGTTTTAAATTGACAGCCATGGTCAAATTACCTTAAAAAAGGTTAACCAGTTCTGATGGATTTGTTTTTCTAAAGTGAGTTTACCTGCTGCCGTACTCTCTTATACATAGTACATAGAATAGTTAAACTTTGGTTGAGGGCATGAGCTCAGTGATAAGTGGTAACACACCCTGCCCTCTGAGGCTGGGAGCCCATGGGGATTAATAGGGCCCGCTCACCTGCAGCTGGCAGACCTGAGGCGTACTCAGTTCCAGCCACCTTTGTCATTAGGAATGCCAGCCCATGGTTGTCAGATATTAGGAATTTTAAACAGAAGGTGATACCGAGCAATGGGCTCGCTCTGCTCTCCGTGATGCGAGCCAATTACTTACAACGAGTTAAAGGTGGAGAAAGGAAGTTTAACTAAATTAGCCAGCTAATCAGAAGATGGGTGACTAATGTCTCAAAAACTCATCTTCAAGGATTATGGAATCTTGAGGCAGTTATATAGGGAAAATGGGCAGTGAGGAGCCGGTCCAGGGATATTGGTCTCCAGGCATGACAGGCCCCAGGCATCACATCGTTTCATTCTTCTGTCATCTGTGATGGACACCTTGTAGGTGTGTTTCCCGCCTGTGGTCAGCCTGTTCCTGGAGAGAAACTCATAGAACAAAGTTTTAATTTATCAGGGTATCAGGGAGTACATACGTAAGTGGAGGCCATAAATCAGGAGAGCATGTGAATTTTTTAGAGTATGTGCAGAGCAGTGCGTAATCACAAAGAGGAGGGGCTGGGGCCATTTAGTGTAACAAGATGGCCTCACTTATGCTCACTCACAGTTTCCCCCCTGTGAGTAGTAACCCATAATCTTATGGTCAAGGGGGAGACAGGGTGTCCTACTTTTTCTAGTTACTTCCTGCTGAATCAGGATGTCGTAGGGAGACCATAGCATGGAAAAGAGTCAACTGTGAAAGACATATTTTAGCTCTCCAAGGGGTTCCGCCACGCATTTTCCCCCCCGATACTGGTGGGAAAGTTTCCTGTGATTTGGGGGCTGCCTTGACCCGGGAGTGATACATCCAGGGTTTTATGTCTGCAAGTTTTACGGATGAGTGAGTGAGTGGTGAGAAGAATCTCAAAAGGGCCTGTCCATTTGGGTGACAACTGGTTTTAGAGTCCCTGATCTCTCCAAGTTTTCAGCAAAACATGGTCACCAGGTTGGAAGGCATGTAGAGGGATGTCAGACAGATATGTAGACCTATGAGAAGTAAGCTCACGGACAGAAGTTAATACAGAGTTTAATGATTTAACATAATTAGCAATCATGGCATTGCTTAAAATGTCCAGAGATTCAGTCCCAGGGGAAGATGCCTGAAAGTGTCTCCCACATAGAATTTTGACAGGATTCAATTTAAGTCCGCTTTAGGGAGCTGCTCTAACCCGTAGCTGGGCAAAGAGCAGTGCCTTATCCCAAGTTATTAGTTGTGTTTCATGACAGATTTTGGCAATGGTCTTCTTTAAGATGTGATTCATTTTCTCCATCTTTCCAGTTGATTGAAGTTTCCAGGCTGAGTGTCGTATCCATCGGATGTCTAAGCTTTTGGATACTTGTTGGATTATTTGGGAGACAAAGGCTGGTCCATTATCACTCTGCAAGGTATTAGGCAGACCAAACCTAGGGATGGTTTCTTAGCAACAAGCGAGTGACTTCTGATGCTTTCTGTCTGAGTGGGAAAGGCTTCTCCCCACCCAGTGAAGGTGTCCACAAAGACTAACAAAAACCTAAAATTCCTAGCTGCCTGGGGCATCTGGGAGAGTCTATTTGTCAGCCTTCATTAGGCCAATTATTTTTATGTTGGGTGCCCAGATATGGGGGACCGGAAGCAGACTTGGGATTGTTCTTTGCACAGATTATGCAATTTTTAGTTAGGTAAGGCCGTGTGATGTACTTTTAGATGCATTAGATTCTCCCTGTGGTGGCCAGGGCAGTGCGTGATAGCTGCCTGAGCAGGCTCATTAATAGCAACAAGTAGTTTTAAGATTTTTAGGGCCGTGTCTGATTTCCCTTTGTCCTGCTGTTAAGAGTCCCCTTTCTTTCCAAATTGTCCCATGAGCATGAACTACAGCAAAGGCAAAACAGGAATCTGTGTATATATTTTCTCTTTTCCCTTGAGCTGGATGTAGAGCCCGAGTGAGGGTGACGATTTTCACCTTTTGAGCCAATATCCCTGGGGGTAGGGCTTTGGCCTCCAAAGTCTCTTGTAAAGTTATGACTGTGTACCCTGCGTGTCTCTTACCTTGATCCATGAAGCTGCTGCCATCTGTGAAGAGTTTCAGGTCTGGTTCTTCCAATGGACAGTCCAACAAATCAGGTTGTCTAGAATACATTGTCTCTGTAACTTGTGAGCAGTCATGTTCTAAGTCTTCTAATGTCTTATTAGGGAGCAAGGTGGCTGGGTTTAGGGAGGATGATACTTGCATCCATACATTTGGATTATCCAAAAAGATGGCCCAGTATTTGCCCATCCTTCGTGAAGTGAGCCAGTGTCCCTCTTCTGTTCCGGTAATGTGAGTTCTTGATGTGGCACGTATTCCATGGTGGGTTGGCCCAGGGTTAATCTTTGAGCTTCCTGCAGGATGTTGCAGGTAGCAGCCACTGCCCTGAGGCAGCGAGGGTCAGCCCTTGACAGTCTGATCCAATTGCTTGGAAAAATAAGTTACTGGCTAGGGGGTCATGCCCAGTTTTTGAGTTAAAACCCCCAAGCTTATTCCCTGCCTTTCATGTTGGTACATATTAAGGGCTTGTCCAAGTGAGGAAGTCCTAAGGCTGGGGCTGAAATTAAATTTGTCTTGATGGTATCAAAGGCCACCTGAGACTTCTTCGCCCATTCTAGTGGCTCCTGCTCTAGCCTTTTTAGAGCCTTATAGAGGGGCTTTACTTTGAGACCATAGTTAGGGATCCAGATCCGACAGAAACCAGCCATGCCCAAGAATCTTTGTAGTTGTTGCTGGGTGGTGGGAGGGCTTAGGCACCTTATAGTTTTTTTTTTGGTCTGGCAGCAGTTCCTTTTGGCTTTGATTTTTGAGGAAGACTGGCCCTGAGCTAACATCTGTGCCCATCTTCCTCTGCTTTATATGTGGGACACCTGCCACAGCATGGCTTGACAAGTAGTGTGTAGGTCTGCACCGGGGATCCGAACTGGTGAATCCCAGGCCACCAAAGTGGAACGGGCGAACTGAACTGCTGCGTCACCGGACGGGCCCCCCCTTTGGGCTTTTGATAAGGTAAATCCTAAGTACGTAGCTTTTTGTTTGCAGATCTGTGCTTTCTTTTGTGAGACCTTATACCCACATTCAGCCAAATGATTTAAGGTCTTTATTGTGTTGGTCAGACACTGCTCATAAGTGGGGCTCGCTGTCAGGAAGTCATCTACATACCATAACAACAATCCTTCTTGTAATTCTAAGTGGCTCAAACCTTTACCTAGGGCCTCCCCAAATAGTGTAGGAGTTCTTCAAACCCTGGGGGAGCACTGTTCAACCATATTATTGAGTGGCCTGAGTGTCTGGGTCACACCACTTAAAGGCAAAATGTCGTGATTCTTCTGCTAGTGGTATGCGGAAGAGTGCGTTCTTCACTGAAACTGAAACTGAGTTCTTTCCAAACTGAAAACCAGCCATATTCACCTGGAATGTTGGTTAGTAAGGCGTAAGGGCTGGGCACCACAGGGTGCAGGTCCTGAACCACCTCATCTATGGCACGAAGGTTCTGAACAAACCGATATTTGTCTGATTTGGGTTTCTTAAGGGAGAATAGGAGTATTATATGGCGACTGGTAAGGCCTGATTAATCCTGCTGCCAGGAATTTTTGCAGCACTGGCTGAATGCCTTTCTGAGCCTCCTGTTTTAGCAGATACTGTTTCAGGCTAGGTTTTATCTTTTGGGTTTTCAAGGGTATATGTATTGGCTGGACATTCTTTGCTTTCTCAGGCTTCCTATCTGCCCACTCGTCTGGTCTTCCCTCCTTGAAGATCTCTGGTGGCAGTGGGGCTGGAGGTGGTGTTTGAACACCTAGCAGGGGCGTCTGGAAAATGCTTGTTCCTGTGGCACTTTTACCTCCGGCTGGCCTGGAGCAAAAGTCACTTGAGTATTCAGTTTACATAGAAAGTTTCGTCCCAGGAGGAGAACGGGGTGTTCAGATATATACAATTTTTCCAATTAAAAGATCTGAGATAGAGAAAGGAGAGGGCACCCAAACGAAGCTGGCCAGTTGCCCTTGTCCGTTTATGCCTATGGGATATTGTCACAGTGGAAATTGCCCCGCTGCAGGAAGAGCCCCCTGAACAAATTGTGTTCCTTGTTGGGTTTGGGTTCGAAAAGGAGAGAGCCCCTCTCTCGGACCTGGCAATCCCTCAGACATTTCCCCTTGGGTAAGCGGCAGGCCTGGAAAAGGGGGAGGAGGAGGAGCTGGGGGAACTCCTTGGTCCATCTCCCCTCTTCCCGCATCTAGATATGGCAGCATAAAGGCTTGAACATAGGGGATTTTATTTTCCTTTCTTCCTTCTAGCAGAACCATTCTAGCTGCAAGATGGTATCATAATTGAGCAAACCATTTGGGGGCCACTTTTCTCCTGAGGCCAGTGTTTACTGGGGCCAGGCTACATTGCAGTAAAAGGTCATCCTTTTTTCTTTGTCATGGGCTTATAAGTGAAATCAGCCTAATTGGCCAGCATGCAGCCTAGTGGGCCTCTCTTTTTCTTTTTTCTCGGAAGGGACAGAGCAGCACCCGTGGTGGTAAAGTTTGTGTCTGACCATTAATAGACCCAGAGAAAGGTGCAGGGGTTGACTCCAGGAGACCAGATAACTACAGGCCTTTTCCAAATCCCACTCTGCCCGAGAACACAGTTCTTGCATCAGTGCTGAACAAGCCAAAGAGACAAGAGAGAATGGCTTAAGGTGGGGTAAAGATCTTATCTCCCAATGCCAGTCTAGTGGGTCAGATGCCTGGTACAGAGAAAAACCGGCACACAGACTAGTGGAACAACACACACTCTCAGGAGAACAGGCCATACTGGTGGGTACACCACAGAAAAACCAGAGACTCGTGACTCCCCTAGCTGCAGACTAGGTGATTGTAAGCTCGTCAGTTTACAATCCTGTCCTTTGTCTTCCAGTCACTGAAGCATTAGAGGCAGTTGGCAAGGGAGGAAACCACAAGGGGAATTCCACAGGTGGAAAAAGCTGAATGGCAGCTGCAGGGGAAAAATCCCAAAATAGTCTCCTCCAAGTCAGAGGCAGAGGCTGTGGTCCCATCTGGGTCACCAGAATTTGATATCAAGTAATGGGTTCGCTCTGCTCTCGAAGATCTGAGCCGATTGTCACAACGAGTTAGAGATGGAGAAAGGAAGTTTAATTAGATTAGCCAGCTAATCGGAAGATGGGTGACTAATGTCTCAAAAACCCATCTTCAAGGAGTACAGAATCTTGAGGCAGTTATATAGTGAAAATGGGCAGTGAGGAGAGGATCCAGGGATGTTGGTCTCTAGGCATGACTGGCTCCCGGCATTACATTGTTCCATTCTTTGGTCAGCTGCGATGGACACCTTGTAGATATGTTTTCCACCTGTGGTCAGCCTGTTCCTGGAGAGAAACTCACAGAACAAATTTTTTTTTAATTTAAAAAATTTTTAATTTAGAAATTTTAATTTATCAAGGTATCAGGGAGTACATATGTAAACAGAGGCCATAAATCAGGAGAGCATGTGAATTTTTTAACAGTATGTGCAGAACAGCGCGTAGTCACACAGAGGGGGCACTGGGGCCATTTAGTGTAACAAGGTGGCCTCACATGCTCACTTACAAGGGTAGAAATCTGGATTTTAATGTGAAATATTTGATTTTTAAATCTTGACAACAAATTTACTAAAAAAAAAAAAAAAAGAAACCAAAACAGTGAATGAATCTGTAGGTGCCAGAGACTGACACAGTCTCTGCCTATTTAAATGTAATGGACTATTAATTTTGTGAGATATTACTCTATCTAGAATCTCATAACTGTTGTATATCTCACTCAATTTCTGGTTTTTCGATTTCTTTCCTGACTGCTCTGTATTTAGGCAGCTGTTCGTGAACACCATTTAGGAATCATCCATCCAGTCTTCCTTCAGGTCCTTTTCAGGAGCTCTGTACAGCAGCAGGTGAAAGATTCCTATGAGACAGGCATCAGCTTCTCTTTTCCCTCACGCCAGGATTGCTTTCTTCTTCAGTAATTGGGGAGGGGTGGTGGTGGTGGAGGATGTCCCCCAATCTATTTTCAGGTAGCAACTGGCCCCATCTTGGGCCTTAGTGTTTTCTGCTGGTCAATGCTGGGACCTCCAGGATTATAGTCTGCATGGTTTCTGTGTGGGTACAGCATCCAGTTGCCTTATCCTGTATTCCTCACAATGCACTAAGAAATTCACTGAAGATTTGAATTACAATATAGGGGGACAGATGCTCCAAATAAGATGCCTAACATGACTTCTGGTTGGGTCCTTTATGGGCACAAAGAAATTCCCAGCAATGTTTTCAAAATTGTGGTTTCCCCCATTTTCCTTCCTCAGAGACAGTCCCTGTGGCAGACACGGAGATGCAGATAACAGCTCAGATCCTCCTAGAAAGCACTCGTGCTGGCTGCTGGGAGCTTGATTAGCTGTCAGCCTCCAGCTGACAGTTAACTCCTTCTCAGGGTGGCACCAGCCGGTAACTGAGCAGGACGGGGGTACCAGGACCTCGTCATTTCTGCCTAAAATGGGGCTCCTCCAGCAGGCCATCTTTGTTTTGGAGCTTCCTGTTGGGCTGGTGTTCGTCAGATCTGCATCTCACCGTCTAACAGCTCCTTCTTCTCAGTCCTGCTTCCTCCCTTTTGTTTCACAGGTGTTATTCTGACTGAACCTTTAAACTCAACTCCAACCAGGCATCGGCTTTGCTGAGAACTCACTGACAGTCTCCTTTCTTCAGAATCTTCCCACTCCCGGCAGAGAGGGGTTGTTCTCCTGGAGGATCTGTCCTTTCCCCTGAAACAGAGTATCAGGGCATTCCGAGGCGAGAATCACATCTTTACATTTCTTGCCAGCTTGAGTTATTCAACGGGGAGCTTTTGTGGACAATTGCAGGGTGAGCTTTGGCAGTCTGGGGCCAGCACCACAGTACAAGTCTTGTTCGGAGCACCACGCGTTCTCCTTGAGATCTCTCTGCTAGTATGAGATGAAGAAATGTCCTCTCACCCCTCCTGAGGCGTTCCATTTTCCAGTGAGGAATTTCAGGATCAAATGAACACACACATGCACTCACACACATACACTCACACAGAGAGACACACACACAGACGTACACTCCTTCCAAGAACGAACAGCAATTCTTAGGGACAATGCAGTCTAAATCCACATTAAGAAAGAGAACCGTTTCCCTAGAGATGCCAGCCTGCCCTCTCTGGAGATAACATTTGACATTATTATGCAAAGCAGTTTCAGTTCTCCTGTCCTGCTTTTGGAACAGTGTAAGAGGCCAATGGTGTGAAATGAATAGGGCCCATCACTCGCCTCGGCAAAAGACAGCCTACTTCTGAGGGCTCTGTCTTTGTCGGGCTAGATCAAATTCTTGAGCAGATCTGCACTCTTTTCCATCTCTGCAAAGGAAGTTTAAGAATTGATTATCCTTCACCTCAAGCAAACCCTCAGGAGGGAGGGGGATGAGTGGGTTTGTCCTTCTGGTTACATATGCTCTGTCCACTCATTTTGAATTTAATGACACAGAGTATGTTATGACCTTTTGATACATTGTAAAAAAACCAAGGAATCATACAATGCACACTTTCTGCACCTTGTTTTTTAAAAAACATTGTATTTTGAAGTAATTATAGACTCACAGTAATTATAGACTCAAAAGTAGTATATAGAGACCCCATGGACCCTTCCCCTAATGGTGACATCTTCCAGTGGTGGCATCTGTAGTACCATATCAAGACCAAGACATTGCCATTGGTGCAATACTGTTAACTAGATTAAAGCCCTTACTCAGTGTTCATTATTTTTTATATGCGCTCATTTGTGTGTGTCAATGTGTGTGTGTGTGTGCACGTGTGCGCATGCGGGCACACTCCTAACTTGTTGGTCTGTTTTGGAGACCTTCGACTAGCAGGCGGTTCAGATCTTCATCCTCATTCCCTCTTCTGTTATCTGGATGGACTATCACTTGTTGGTCCCCTGTTGAAGTCCACGTTAGTTGTTAATGGCTTTTCTCTCATACATAGAGTACTGCAATAGCATCCTGTACACAGAGCTGGGAGCACTTGTGCTAAGCCCAGCTCGATAGTTGAAGGGATAGGGCAAAGTGTATGTGCCTTTGACATTTTAATAGAAATTGCCAATTGCCCTCCAGAAAATCTGTGCCCCTGTCCTATTTCACGGAACCTTCCTGAAGGGCAATTCTGTGGGATGGTGTCCATTTCAACGCACCTTCCTAGCACTCAGTTTCACCAAACATTTTAACTTTTGCCAATCGGGGTGAAAAAAGAATCTTTCGATTTGCATTTCTTTAAGGTGATTATTTTTTCATATGTTTGCAGGTATTTGTATTTCTTGTTTCCTAACTGCTTGTTCATGCCCTTTGTCCTTATTGGGTTGTTACTTTTTTTTTCTTATTTATTCTTCTAAACTCTTTATCAGAGAAAATTAACCGTTTGACTGTTACGTGTTGCAAATATTTTTATTGATTTGACTTTTGAATTTATGTCTTTTTAATGTCCTATAGATGTTTTACATTTTCATGGAATCAAATTTATTTATCTTTTTTTTATGGCTTCTGAGTTTTATGTCATGCTTAGAAGGGCCTTTCTTACTTCAAGAGTATAAAAAATTCACTCATGTTTCCGTGCAGTTATTCAATGTTTTGTGTGTGTGTGTGTGTGTGTGTGTGTGTGCGTGTTTAAATCTTTGGGCCATCTGGTATTTGTTCCTGAATGGGAAGTGAGCTAGAGATCCAGGTTAATTTTTTCCCAAATGGTTAACCAGTTATCTCAGGGCTATTTGATTATCCCCCATGCCTTGATTTCTTTGTTATTTGCACATGTTCTTGAGCCTATTTCCGGATTCTTTTATCCCATTGATTTGTCTGTCTGTTCCCAAGTCAGGATTTTGATAGATATTGCAAAGAGGAGAAAGGAAAGTGGAAAAAGTGCCATAAAATAATTTCAAATAGAGCAGCATGGGCAATTCAAAGGAGGGAGAGAGTATTTTTAGTCGGGGTGGTCTGGAAAAGCTTCTTGAAAGAGGGACATTTAAGACAAAGCTTGAAGGATGAGAAAATGAGTCAAAGGGAAAGCAGAGCAAAGGCAGGAGGCAGGAGGTGGTGGACGTTTGTGAGCATGTCTGTGGACTCTGCAGGGGAGCCCACGCTCCGCCCCTTGTGTTGTTATGCATGCAGGTCTTGAATGCTGTCAACAGCAGACAGAAATCTTTGTATTACTCTCTCAAGGCATTTTGAGGATACACCACGAGAGCTACAAGTTGAGCATCGCCTGTTTTCTAGGAATATCTATTGTCAATTCCAATTCTCACCACCATGAGCAAAGTTGATATTATTATCCCCATTTTAGGAACGAAGAATGAGGAAAAGCCCAAGTGAGTTAAATAACAGCTCATGGGTAGCAGCACTGAGATTCAAATCCATGGCCAGCAAGTGAAAAAAAAGAATAGAAAACATCACAGTCGCTCACTCATGATAGGGGGTTGGTCACAGGTGCTGTCCTTGCACTGTCCTTGCTCTGCCCATGTCATTGGATCCCTCTCCCTTCTCTGTGCTCACCAGCTGAATTCCAGTACGAGTGCTTGCCCCAAAGTCAGCATGTTGTTGGAAGTTGCAGGAGAGCCAGAGGACCCTAGGAATTTGTGTCCCCTCCCTCCCTCCACAGCCCTGAACCGATGACTGATGGGGACGGGGATATACGTACTCTAGCTCTTTTCCCCCTCATTGGGGTGACTTTGAGGTGACCCACAATGCTCCCTAAACCCTGGGAATGGTGCATAATTACCCTCTACGTGACTTGGATCCATATTGCACCCTTACTGGTCCACCTTCCCCACTCCTCTAAAGACTCTTTTCCCTGGAAATAGTTCCTAATAAATCACTTTTATATACATCTTCCTCTAAGGCAGTATTGTTTCATGAAACCTGTTTCAGCTATGTAGAGGGGTGGGTGAGTGTGTGAGTGTGTGTGTGTCTGTGTATTGGTTGCCACTTAATATGCATTTCTTACTGTGGAGCCAAAAAGTTCGAAAGCCAGTGTCCTAGACCACGTTAAGCTGTCTCTCTATTTGTGTGGATAGTTCACTGAGCTGGAAAGTTTCCTGGATGCCCCAGAATCAGAACTGCAGATCAGATTCCAGGTTTTATGGTCTATTGAGTACAGCGGCTTAAAATACATTGAATAAAAATGTATTAGTCATAGGTCTAGAGAATGCCATCAACTTTGAGCTGTTCTTTGAACTTCTTTGGTCAGTCTAGCTTGCCGAATGGGTTTCAAAGTCCAGATTTCCCTCTACTAAGGTTGATAAAAGTGGTATAAAAGTCTTGATGGTTGCTTACTAATTTTTTGCAAACTAGCAGAAAAAGGAAGACCAAGTTCGCCTTGCTGCAGAGCCAAAGGGCATGCTTGCCCACATGGCAGGGTAGTCTTCCCAGAGCTCCAGCCCAGGGCTTGGCTTAGATGGAGAGAGGTGGGGTGTTCAGAATTGCTCTGCATTTACCTCTGAAGACAGTGCAGTTAAGGGAAGGGAAGATAACACACGACATACTCACTAACAACCAACAGGCCTTAGCAAAGAGATCAGGCAAGTCTGTTTATGCAATCTGTGGGACCCTGGGGCAAGCCTGGCTGCCAGAATCCATGGAGGCCAGGCATGGAGGGTGGAGGATGCCAACTCCCAAAGTACACTGGAGATGAAATCTGGAAGGTGGTGCAAGGGAAAGGTAAGATACCTATCTTCCCAGGGAAACCTTGGGAGCCCTGCCATCATGGTGTCAGTTGAAGATCCTTACTTGTTAGTACATGAGGTGGATGGGCTCCATGTTTAATTGTTTTCTTTTTGAGGAAGATTAGCCCTGAGCTAATTGCTGCCAATCCTCCTCTTTTTGCTGAAGAAGACTGGCCCTGAGCTAACATCCGTGCCCATCCTCCTCTACTTTATATGTGGGACGCCTACCACAGCATCGCATGCCAAGCGGTGCCATGTCTGCACCCGGGATCCGAACTGGCAAACCCCGGGCCACCGAAGTGGAACGTGCGCACTTAACTGCTGTGCCACCGGGCCGGCCCCAGGCTCCATATTTAGAAAAGAAAAAAATATGTTGAAAATCCAGTGGAATGATTAAGAAAAAAAGGAAGGAGATCTCAGCTCATCAAGTTGAGGATCATGACGACTGAGAGTTAAGAATTTATAGCACCTCTAAGATTGTCCCAAGGAAGAGCCATGCTTCATGGTAGACATGGACATTCTGGTCACCCTGAAAGTGTCCCCCAGGGTGGACAGTGGGTGCTCATCAGTACTGTCAAGGTCTGGTTTAAGGATCCTTCAGCACCAGCCAACTCCCTCTCTCCTGATTCCACATCCACTCCACCACTTTCTGCTTGTGACTCCAGGCAGGAGGTATGGATCACAATAACACCTTTTCTCATCACTGGAAGGGCATGTTCCCCTCCAAAACTTAATCCACTGGCTTTTGAGACGAAGTCAACTTCATAGGAGTCTAGGTGGTGAGAGTCGGAACCGTACTCCCGCTGAGGTGTTGACTATCTAAGTTGCTGGCTGACTAGTCTGAGAACCACGCCAGGAGTCAGGACCCTGTGAGGCCCAGCATGAAAAGGGTAGTCAGATCTCACAGGCTCCAAGACACAGAGGAGCAGGGCCCCCACCAGAGATGATCCTGAGGCCGAGCTGAGAACCTGGGGGGAGGCAGTGTGAGCGATTCCTGACTGGGCGCAGCAAGCTTTGACTCTTGGTGAGACTCTAGGGTTCAGCCAGAAAGGGGGTGTTCACATGGGGATGGGGATAGAGAAGCCTTTGACTCTAGGGAGCAGAGCAGGGGTGGGAGGGAGATGGATGGGGTCAGTTTTGTTCTCAATTTCTGTCTTGCCCTCTGTTCTTGGAAAGTTAGCTGAGAAAGGAGGCTTTGAGCTCTATCTCCAGGGTAAGAGCTGCTCAATTTTTTTTTTTTTTTGAGGAAGATTAGCCCTGAGCTAACTGCTGCCAATCCTCCTCTTTTTTTGCTGAGGAAGACTGGCCCTGAGCTAACATCTGTGCCCATCTTCCTCTACTTTATATGTGGGACACCTGCCACAGCATGGCTTGCCAAGCGGTGCCATGTCCGCACCCGGGATCTGAACCAGCAAACCCTGGGCTGCTGAAGCGGAACGTGCGCACTTAACCGCTGAGCCACCGGGCCGGCCCCAGACCTGCTCAATTCTTGACGAGAGGCTCCCTCACTCAGGATTCTGTCTCTGTCTGATGTTCAGGGTGGGCTGGCTCCTATAGGCATGGTGGGGTGGGATGTGGGGGAGATGCTTGGCTTATAGTGCACAAGGATTAAATATTTTACACTTTATTATATTCATTCAGTACTTTCACATAAAACTTATACCATAATTGTTGCAAGGATACACCATTTTTTCCCCAAAGCAGATTCTAATTAATCAACAGTGTGCTGATTAAGCATCTGCAGGAGAAGCACTGTGCTGAACACCGTAGGAGATTAAAGATTTACAGCACAAACTTAGTCCTTAGTCAAGAATTGACAATCTAGCTGAGGAGTTAGGACATGTCAAGGAAACACATAGAAAACAACCGCTTAAAAAAGTGCTAACCTAAGAGTTATTTTATCCAAACCTCCTTTGCTCTCTTCCATTGCATCTCCTCCAGAGGGGGCTCAACCCTGCCCTGGCTGGTGGACCTCTGGGGCACTATTCCCGTGGTCCACCCATGCCTCATGACTCAGTCCCCTGCCTTCCCACAGGGCTCAGTAGGGGCGGCTGGGAGTACGGGTTCGTGTGGAGGTGTCTCCAGAAAATGGATCCTGCAAAGGTGATCATGCCAGATAAAAACAGCTTTAATCCTTCCATTGTCTTCTGTTAAAATTGCGTGGGTTGGGTTAGTTAAATGGGTCAGATGTACCTTGTTAAATCAATAAGCATCTGCTGAGTCTCACATAGGCAGAAGGAAGAGAAAAGGCCATCAGGAGAGCCAGATGTGGACTTCTTGGGGGCTCCCTCGTGGCTTTCCCATGTTCTCTCACTGTGCCATCATACCCATCTTCTTCAAGAAAACATTTCCCCCACTTGTGCTAATGCTTGTGAGTGTCATCATTTGTGCATGATCCTGTGAACTAGACAGGTTGAAGAACTCCTGCTCTTGGTGGGCCCACCTTTCTCAACAGGGGTTCCAGGAGAGAACTAAGTTCTACAGAACATTATTTGAGCGACTATTTCCTCAATTATCCAATGATGGTATATAGTACTATTCTAGAAGCATAAGAGACACAAGGTAATTCATACATACAATAGATGCCTTAGGGCATTAGGGCTTAGTTCTCTCGTGGAAGTCTGATCTAGAAGTGTTGCTCCAGGCCCCACGCCGAGGGTGTCAAGCAATGCCTGAGCTCCCTCCTTTTCATCGCCTGCCTCACTTGCCACAAGTGACCCACAAGGACTTCTTAAGCCATGAGTTTTGACAGTGTAGACTAACTGTAATTGGAGTTCAAAGGAGAGACCAGAGCCCTGTGGGTGTCACTATGTTAACTTACGATGTTGTTAGACATACTAACGTCTAGTATGAACCTAGATTAAGGAGTGAACGTGGAGGGAGCAGAAGCCTCACAGACTTGTGTCTCCCTCGTTCCCTCTCAGGGAACTCTGCAAGCAGGGTGGCTTGGAATGGCCACACATTTGGGCAACGACTTTCCTCTGCAGTGTGGAATTGGAAAACCTCTGTTCAAAAAACACACTTTAGATATTGCAAACAGTGCTTTAAAGGGCAAAGGTAAAGCAAGTATACCTCTCCCAATGGATGGATGAATTTAGAGCTTTTATGATGTGGCAAGAGAAGACAAGGTGTTGAGTAAATCTGGAATTCGTTGTATTGCGGAATAGACAGAGAAGTTAAGAGAACCTTGAGCTTGTCAGGATGAGAACGGAAACCTGTTGGGACAAAAGAGCACAGGCACCTGCTGACTCTCTGCTTCTCACTCCCCATGTGGAGCTGGGCTGGGAGGAGGCCTGGGAAATACTGTAATGTTGGAGCTTAAGTGTTTAGGACAGCATTTTCTCTGAGTCAGGCTTGGCCTGGACATCACCTGACTCCCATGTTTTGGAGATCGCTTGGGGGACAATACATTCCTCCAAGATTCCTTTCTCTCCTCTGACTGGATCAGGAAGAACCTAGTTTTCGTGGGCCCCTGCAGGCTCTCAGAATAACTCCATCCCCGCCTCTCCGCCACTATTGTGCACTGAATCCTGCTTGCAACCCCTAACTTCCCCCTTTGGCTGAGGACCCTTCTGTTCTTCCCTGCCAGATCCAGGGAGGCTGAGAGGTAGCATTACAATTTGCCTTGCTGCAATGATAGCTCCTGGGGCCATGTCTCTGTATAAAGACCTGCTCACTCAGACCTAGTGTCACCTGTGGAGCCACAAACCTTATTCTTATTCTAGGTCAGCTCTCCCTCCTATATGTTCTTATGTACTTCCCTTTTGAAATACTTATTATACTAATGATTATTTATTTAATATTTGTTTTCCCCAGTAGATTATGAGTTCCCTGGGATCAGGAACTGAGCCTGTCTTGCTCATGCCATATCCCTATTACCAAGTACAACAAAACCATCCTACACATTCAAAGAGGGGATTTAGAACAGAGATTCATTACACAGGTAATGGACAGAGGTGAGAAGCCAAATGGGCTGAAGAAACAACCAGATATTAGCGACAGCAGGAAGCTACCACCACCACCACCAGGGCTTGAAGGATATGGGAGACGGATGGTGGTGCCAGAATCAGAAGCCGAGGCCGTATCATGGCTGGGACTGCCAAGAACCCTGGAGAGACGGCTGTCGGACGGGGAGCTGGAACCACTGTAGGAAAATGATGCTCAGAAGAGAGATGGGGCAGACAAAATAACCTGGCTGCTCTACTTCTCAACCTCCAATCTCTTGCTACTGCCTCCCAGTGGCCATTCTAGCTGGAAGATGATAGGCAAGGATTATCAGGAAACAGGGTTTTCAGGAGAAGGGTGGGGAAGAGATCTGAGAGCAAATAGGCAATGACCGGTACCATATGAACTAATAAATGTTTGTTGCTTACCTGAATGGGTAGGCATATAGACGTGCATTAAATATTGGCTGATCAATAATTTAAAGTAGCCACAGTCCTGTCATTCACAGCTTGTCAAAACAATTCCATCCCTCACTTCTCTGCTGCTAGTTGTCACAGATGTCTTCTTGGTGTCTTCTTGAGACACCAGTTTTGACAGCGTAAACTAAGTGTAATTGAAGTTCAAAGGAGAGACAAGATCCCTGAGGTCAGCAACTTCGTTCTGATTAACTTCATTCTGAATTACTTCAATTAAAACAAATTTCTTCTGCTGGAACCCAAAATCCGGTAAAGATGTAGGCCGTTTAATGCTAGCCAGTTTGAAATCCAGCCCAGCTTTCTTGAGCCTCGAATCTAACAGCTGCAGGGATAGCTTGCCTCAAAACGACACAAGGAACCATTTCTGAGGCAAAGACGCAGCCTGTCCCTCACAGGCAGCCCCTTGCTTAGGGTTTCAGGTCAGTGGTAGAGCCATCCAAGCATTTCATCCCAGATGGGCGCTGGCGCCTTATCAGAGGCAGAGAAGGCTGCAATTCTAGGTGTGTCCACCAGAGGGGGACAGGGCCTCCCTTCACAGAGGCGCGACTGTGGCTTGGCGCCTCGCCCATGCCTTGGCAGGATGCTGCCTTGTGGCGTCTACTTTTAGGGACCTCATGTGTTGAAGCAGATCTGGAGGAATAGAGGCTGCTCTGATTCCAGAGGGAGGAATTTCCTCTTTCAGTTCCATCATTTTCCCTTTCACTGGTTCATTATATGTTTAATAACAGTTGATTT